TTCGCTAGTCTCTCCTCGTAGGGCTTGGTCTGCAGGCCCTTGACCATACGAGTGGCCCTTCTCTGGACCCTCTCCAGGTTATCCGCATCCCTCTTGAAGTGCGGTGCCCAGAATTGCACGCAGTATTCCAACTGCAGTCTGACCAGCGCCCGATAGAGGGGAAGTATCACCTCTTTGGAACTATTTTCATTGCCTTCCACTGGACCGTCCAATTTGTTCACATCCTTTATCCACAACCTTTTGGAGGGCCCAAAACTGGACACAATACTCCAGATATGGCCTCCCCAGTGCTGAATTAGGGTGAAAAATCACTTCCCTCAATCTTTTGGAAACAATCCTACTAATGCAGCCCAGTATGTTGTTAGCCTTTTTCGCAACAAAGACACATTGTTGGCTCATATTCAGCTTAATGTCCACTGTAACCTGAGGCTCCTTTTCTGCACTGTGGTTCCACTGTAACCTGAGGGTCCTGAGCTGCTGCTTAGTCAGCCAATACCTGTATGTCCTGGTGTTTAGGATTGTTCTGTCCTAAGTACATGGCTTTGCATTTGTCCTTATTGCATTTAATGAGATTTCTTTTGATCCAGTCATTCAATTTGTTGAGGTCTCTCTGAACTCTAGTCCTACCCTCCAGCTTATCTATTATTCCCCCCCAGCTTGGTGTCCTCTGCAAATTTGCTGAGGGTGCACTCTATGCCATCTTCCAGGTCATTGATGAAGCTAGTGAACAAAACTGGCGCAGGACTGACCGCTGGGGCACTCCACTTGAGACCAGCTGCCAACTAGACATTGAGCCACTGCTTACTACTCTCTGAGCCTGACAATCCAGCCTGTTTTTTATCCACCTTCCAGTCCATTCATACAACCCATACTTTCTTAGCTTGCCTGTGAGAATGTTGTAGGAGACCGTATCAAAAGCTTTGCTAAAGTCAAGGTATATCATGTCAGCTGCTTTTCCCCACATTCACAGAGCCAGTCATCTTGTCAAAGAAGGAAGGTTGTTCAGGCAGGACTTGCCCTTGGTAAATCCATGCTAACTGTCCCTGAGCACCACCTTCTCCTCCAAGTGCTTAGAAATAGATTCCTTAAAGATCTGCTCCATGTTTTTTCTTGGGACTGAGGTGAGGGTGACTGGTCTATAGTTCCCTGAACCTCCCTTTTCCCCTTTCTTAAAGATGGGCATTATATTTGTCCTTTTCCAATTGTTTAGGACCTCCCCAATCTTCATGAGTTTTCAAAGATGATGGCCAATAGCCCTGCAATCACATCAGCCAACTCCCTCAGCACCCTCAGGTGCACTGCATCCAGTTCCATTGACTTGTACATATCCAGCTTTTTAAAATAGTCCCTAACCTGTTCTTTTGCTAGTGTTGGCTTCCCACCTGCTCCTCAAACTGTGCTGCTAGGTGCAGTAGTCTGGGAGCTGACCCTGCTTGTGAAGACTGAGGTAAAAAAGCATTGAATATTTCAGCCTTTTGTGCATCCTCTGTCACTAAGTTGCCTCCCCCATTCAGTTAGGGACCCACACTTTCCCTGGTCTTCCTCTTGTTGCTGACATACTTGTAGAAACCCTTTTTGTTACCCATCACATCCCTTGCTAGCTGCAACTCCAGTTGCATTTTGGCCTTCCTAATTTTATTCATGCATACCTGAGCAATACTCATATACTCCTCCCTAGTTGTTTGTCCATGTTTCCACTTCTTATGAGCTTCCTTTTTTGTGTTTTATATCACTGAAGAGTTCCCTGTAAGCCAAGCTGGTCTTCTGCCATACTTGCTAGTCTTTCTGCACATTTGGATGGTTTGTTCCTGTGTCCTCAGTAAGGATTCTTTTAAGTACAACTAGCTCTCTTAGGC